TCTTTTTGAGCTTGGATCAGCAGTGGGTGCCATCTGAAGTCAAGAGCTCCTGCCTTGGTATCGAGGAGGGAAGTTCAAAACTGTGAGTACCAAGTGGCAGCTCAAGTTCAAGCCAAAAGCAGTTACTGAAATACATTGTGGCTCGTGCTGCAGAAAGGAAAGGTGGCTCTGTTTGAGCTATCAAATGTCATAAGGAGGGTGAGCAGTTTTAAGAGGCTAGGGTGAGGAGAAGGGTCTCTCTTCCCACTCACTCACCTCATTTCCTGATGCACTCACCTTACCAAGGAGCCACAGTGCAAAACATCACTACACCCATGTGTCCTCCTCTCCTGGACCTGCTATTCTGTACCACCAACCAACTGTGCTTCTCATTCACTCATCTTTAAGAGTCCTTATGTCCACAAAAACCCACACAAACCAGTCTTGGTTTGCTCCAGCATTTTGCCAGGGAGTAGGAGGAACAGTATGAGTCTGAGCTGGGAAGAGAGAGCTCCTCCAGTTCTCCAGCAGTCAAACAGAGATGCCACAGAGCTCACATATTCCCGGCCCTGGAACATGGGGAAAGAAAGAAGGGATAGGAAAGGAGGAAAAGTGCAGAACACAGGGCAGGAGACAAGGCCAATTCCATGGAGTTTTTCTTACCACAACAGTATCACCTAGTATGTTATTAGTTGGTGTTGCCTGGTATCTTTGTACAATAAGAACAGCAGCACTACTGTAGTACTGGAAAACTGTTCACTAGAATACCCTAAAAGCACTGATTCCAACCCCTGTCTGCTGTACCATGCATCCTGTAATGCAAACACAACTAGGACCCTTGGAGGACAGGGTCTGAATGCTTGTGCTCATTAAGACATCTTTCAGAGAACTGAACAACCACTTCTACCCCAAACTGCACTTTAAGAAAGTGTTTAACCCATATACTCAGAGGTAAGAAAACAAGCAACTTGCCATCACTATTAATAGCAGAATTACAGCAGCACATATGAAAAAGAGATAATGAATTCCAGGGATATCAGTCAGAATAATCCAGAGACATTCCCAAAGTGGAAAAACAGAACAGTACAGTGGGATTCATTCAAACACTCAACAGCTTTCCTTGGGAAAGCTCTGAGGTATAAACGGTCCACGCATTTGAAATGATCTGTAAAATCCATATTGGAGATTTGTTTCCTCTTTGCTCAAATTAGCTTTTATTCCTATGGAGTCCTACACAGCCCTGAGCAACAACCAGGATCAGAGAAAAAGTGCAGAACTTGAAACAGCCCTTTATCTCTACAGTAATCAGTACATGACATTTCTAGTGAAAACGATTCAGGGAGTTAACAAAAAAAGTTTCTAGCAGTCACGCATTGCTATCGCAAAATCAAACATGATAAAACAGGTGCTGCAACCCACAAGTGATGAGAAAACAGATGAAGTGGGCAGGGATGACAAGGCTGGAAAAGCACTGGCAGCCTCTGGCTAGGACTGAAGCGTGCTGCTGGGATGGGTGCGCAGTCTGGCAGCCAGGGAAGGGGCTGTAAGTGTCAGAATAGGTATGTTCTGGAAGGAGCATTCTAGAAAAAATAAAAGACTAAAGCTGGAGATTTCCTACACATGATGCTCAGGTTCATTAACTGGCCACCACTGAAGAAATGGATAAAGGATGTAAGCCATGTGGTTATTAGTTTTCACTTACTGAGAAATATTCAGAAAATGAGATTTTCAGGCTCTTTTGATTCCTTGAGGGCAGGGGGAAAAGGCTGAAGAGCTGCGTTCTTCGATACTGAAAGCCTGTACCACACAAGTACAAACTAACTCTAGACCACCTGTAGGACAGCCTGTACTAAATGCAAACTAAACTGAGCAGAAATGAGAAAAATGTGCTAAAACTGAAGATAGCACTAAAGCATCAGAATATAAAAAGAACTTCTAGAAGACTATGAAACTGAAACTACACACAGGGATTAACTCCACATACAACATGTATCAGAAAGACAAAAACAGATTAAATATGCAAAACACAAGTCACTGCTAAGTCTGAGATTATATGATCGACCATCATCAAGTGTGGATAACATTACATTAACACTGGAAAGTTCTTAAGTTATTTGAGCCACCATCAATACATGGAAATCCTAAACAAAGCCACTAGTCTGCAAGCAAACTGTAAAAATGTTATTTTTGTAATTGATATAATCACTATTATTTAAAACAAGTAATCAGTTTCCGTTTGGAGAAAATGTTTATGCAGCCTGTCAGCCTTCCAAGGAAATAGCTTTGAAAGATTAATAATCATCTAAAGCCTGTAGTGCTAGAAATATGCATGAGCCCATCCTCAAGAGAAAGATCCCCCCAGGACCCCCAGTGGGATCAGAACAAGCACAATACCAGGAGGGGAGGAGAACAGCACAGCTGGGAATAGGGAGAACAAAGTTTTAACTGAAATTATTAAAATTAAGCTTTTTAAAAGCTTAATAATATAAACACTAGAGCACAGCATCCCTTCTTATGAATAAAACTGTCTGTTCCAAATATGATATTTATGAATGAGGTTAGTCTACAAAGCGACAGGACTACAAACATCAGATGGGCAAAATAAAACAAACCTCTTAATTTTGAAGTTGGTTATATTTCATAGGCTAAAGAGCAGGAGATTGGTTTATATTAGATCTAAGGTGATACAGATGCCAAATGACATTTTGGAGGCAGTGTGTAGCTGTAAGGAGATATCAGGAAAAGCAGACTGGACACCTCCACAGAAGATAATAAGTATACATCTAAACACCCAGAAAGCATTCTGATATTGTGGCAGACAGAATTAAAGCTGAACAATCTGAAACCTCAGAGGCAATCTAGCTTTGCTCAGCTCATGGGAGTTTTCCCTTGCACCTAATGAACAACCATAAAAATACTTCATGTTAGTCTTATGTAAATTCTTTTTACTGTTCCTCATTATTTTCTACATTTGTTAAATTTTGTTTAAATTAGTCACTACAAAAGTATAAAACATAAACGTGTTTCTAGTGTCTTAACATGAAAATAAATAGCTGTCATTAGCAGTTCACAATGTTCTGCATACCTACATTGATCTTGTTTACTTGGAAAAGAATAATCCTGACAAACAACTGTGAGTACCCACTCACAATAATACAGATGTTGATGATAAAACACATAAGTCTATGATAACAGACTAGTGGAATAGTGGGAATGTCCCACTTGGACGTGACATACAGACACTCCCTTCTGTTAATGAAAGTTTGGCAACCATGTCACACTTCTTCCTGCTGCACTGGCTGCAGGGTCCTTCAAACAAAGTGACATCATCATCACCACTCTGAGACAGAGTCATCTGTGACCTTGTAGCTCTTCTCTGTGTTGATATTGGGAATTCCCTTGTTTCTTACCTGAACTAACACTTCCATTTCTGCTACTTTCTCATTAGAAAAAGCCACCATGTGAATAAAAAAAAGAGGAATGCATTCGTTTTTGTGTAAACATTTTTATAAAAGCATTTAAAATCAAAACAGTATTTTCAAATAGCACATGGCTGAAAGAATATAACAACAAAACAAACAACACTTGAGGACAACAATTTATTTTGAAGCCAAAAAATTCTTCAGTAACTAGAAGAAGAGAGAAGTATCGGTTTTTAACACAATCTATGCTAAGGAAAGGAAGACTACTCTCGGTTTAGGTAGGTGTATTCAAATACCTGCATACCCTTTGAAGTTATTAAAAATTGCAATTTTAAAGGAAGCAAATAGTGCATTCCCTTAGGCTCTGGCCACAGTTTTGTGATACAAAGAGTTTGATGGCAAATTCAGCATGGGGAATTCCCACCTGAGCTCTGCATTCCTGTCCATGTGCCCTAGAACATCAGCCCTTCTGGACTAACAAACATTTCTGGGATCGTGTGGTGACCCAGAACAGTTATCAAGTAACATTCAAATGTAACCTGCACAGCACAGGCCCACAAACAACTGTATCAGCCCTGTCCTGAACTGCTCCTCTCCTGAAGAAGAGAGTAAAGCAGGTGGAACTAGGTGAGGATAAAAGGTGACAACTTACTTAGTACTTCCATTTTTCATCTTGTAAAACAAACAAAGGAGAACACAACCTGTATGCTAGCAGAAAAGAACATTTTCCAGCTCTTAAAGATGATTACTGTGAATGAGCAATAATTGTTCATTGCATCCATCAAATTGTTTCTGTATGGGACAAGCCAATGACATAAATATATTTATTGTCACCACATCCTTTAAATAATACAAGTAATTGCAGATCGACTTATTTACTTCTTTATATAACTGCTTTCCAAAATTTTGAAGCTATTTTAAAAATTCTATCCTCCTTACAATTTATACCTGTGGCTTGTTTTCCTGATGGAAATATTCTCTGGCCAGGAGACCATACTTAACAGGCATTAAATACCTATTTGAACTAAACAGCCACATAAGGACTTCTCCCTACCAGGAGCTGGACAAATCCTAACCCTGACACAATCTCCCAAGGGGTGACAGCCAGTTTTCTATAACAATGTATTGATGCCTCAGGTTTTAGCTTTTATATTTTTCAGATTCTGTACTGCTTTAGTGTGTAGGTCTGAGCTTCATATTAAGGGATGGTAAGCCCTCTTCACATAGTATCTGGACAAAACAATTCCTCTCCTAGCTTGGGATCAAGGACAACCACCAAAATTACAGGCCCAAGAGCATAAACAATGTGGACTGAAGAGAGAAAAACAAGAAGGATGGGACTTCATAACCTAAAGCTGTAATTGGACAATTAACTACAATATGCAAATGGACCACAGCTTATAAAAGTGAGAGACCTCGTGACTGGTCGTTCATTTTGTGACCATTTTGGGTTTATCTTGGGCTGGGCTCTTGCGCTGCCCAAGGTGGATCCATCGAGGCCTTTTAATAAATCCCTACTTTATTCTTGAACTGTGTCTAGTCTCTGTTCTAGGTCAGCATTCACAAGGCATCAGTATATTCCCAACCCCATTCACTCACCACTTTCATCAAGTAAGTCCTCCTCGTCATCCCCATCATTGTCCTCCTCCATCGCCTCCTCCTCGTCTTCCTCCTCCTCCTCTTCCATATCCTCCTGCTCCAAGTCCGGGTCCAGGTCCGGATCACTCCCTGAGATTGACTCGTCTGACATGATTCCCAGTGGTGCTCCTTGTGCATTACCTGCTCATGTTCTACCGTGAGGCAGCCCTGGAAGGACACCAAAGAGGAACGTGAGCCCAGCAAATCCCAACCTTTGAGCCTCAAGGCTCAACATCACAGCAGCATTACTGCACATAAAAAACACAAATCAGCCTTTTAAATAACAGACTTAGATACCAGACAAAGCACAAAATCCTGCAGAGAAAACACACGCCATAAGAAATGGATCATAGTGATACAGGCCCAACACTGAAGAATCTCCATCTCTTCACTGGTGCCCTTGATATGCACACAGGAATCTTCCTGCTGGAAGATTCCTGGTATCAATGCCTGATTTATTCAGAGATGCAAAAATTAATAAATTATGTGAACGATCTCAGAACACTACCCTCCAAAAAGGAAGCATCCAGAAAAGGATCAGTGTCAGCATCCCCTCTGGATACCTGTTACCCTGATCCCTGCAAACACCATCACAGTGAGCAGATGTGGCTCAGAGACAGAAAGCCCCTCCTGCCTCAGCTGTACCCACTGCAAAGGTCACCCGCCTCCTCATCACAGCCTGGCTGAAGTCTCTGATCCAGCCACACAACAAAAACACTGTTACCTTCATAGCTAGGGCAGAAAACAACAAGGATCCAGTTGTAAAGGTTGAACTCCCATTGTAAAACAGGGCAAGAAGAAAAGTAAACACAAAGAAAGAATGGATCAGACAAAATTTGCATTTTGCTTCTTTCAAGGACAAGAACTGGGGCTGGCTGTGCATAACTTCTGTGTTACATCACTCCAGTGAATTACAGCAGAAATTGTGGTAGAACACAAAAATAAAGCCTCAAGAGAGGACCAGGGCAACCACAAAGTCACCAGTTTATCTGTTCAGATCATGCACTGTCCCTTCTGGTCAGTGATGGGTACTCCTGAGCACTCCCACTTCCATACACACAGAGTGATCCTAGAGGAGCTGTGTAAGATGGATGAAAAGAAACACAACCAAGAAAGGAAAATAAAGAAGGCATCTTGATCTTAAGGAGCATAAGCAAAGGATGTATTCAAAGATCAAGCTGCAGAAGAATTATTACCCACGCACTCTCCAGAAACCTTTAAAGAAAGATGAAGGAAACATTTCCTCATCACTCACTTCCCACTGCCCCCTACTTATACCACATTTCTACTGTAAACTACAAAATGTTTGAGAACTAATCAGCCACTTATAAACAAAAAAGAAAAACCTAAACTCCAATCCTCTAAGCAGATAAGGCAGTTCAAATATCTACAAATACTTAAAATTTCATTTAATTTAACACTTAAATTTCATTTTCAGCTGTGTTTCAGCAGTTACCAGATTACCTCAGAAACCTGAAGGTTAAAGACAACACCCCTGCAGCAGGGCTGAAAATCTGTTGAGTATACTGAATTATTCCAGCTGAAGTCATCAGCTCCTGCTCTGCCCCTCAATAACACTGAAGAGTGTCAGAAAGAAAGAAAACACAGGGAAGAGAAGGCATTGCAGAGACTGGCTTTGGAACAGGAAGCCTTTCACCACTCAGTCTCAGGAGCACTTTACCACCAGGCAGAGACAACTGAAGTCCCTCCACTAGTACATGTGCCACAGAGAATAAGTTGGCCTGGTCAAGCAGATGGCAGAAAAGGCCAAAACCTGAATTAGCTCAAGTGGAACTGTGCCAGTTTACACAAGCCAAAGATATTAATTCAGCTTCTGTGGTCTGCAGGTACAAGCCCAGTTGCTGTCAGGCTGCTGCAACACAGTCACCTCCAGCAACTCTTCTTTTCTGATGTCTGGGGACTTCAGTCAAGGGCTGCATACACAAAGCAATCTATTATCAGAACATTTTCCTAACAAATGTTGTGCTAAAGTCTATGTGTATTTCAAAACAGTGGCTTATTTTTTCTTTTACATAGAACCAACCAACCAAAGAAACACAAACACTGCCAATATGGCAGGAATGAACTCTCCTCCACAAACAGCAAAAGCAGAAGTGCTGTAATGCCACTAAATGCTCCAGGTCAAAGAATGACACGACACAGTTCCTCCCATCAGTATCCTCCTGTGTGTCATCCTCTCATGTCCCATCATTTGTCCCAGAACCTTAAAATATAAAAAACCCAAATCAAAACACAAAACATTCTCTGAAAATTGTTTTAAAGGCAAGGATATGGGTCCCTGTGTCTTAATAGATAAAACCAAACCCAGTGGAGAGCAGCTCTCCCTCAGACTGGAGCACAAAAGGTCTCGAATGGAAGCTTTATTTTTGTTTAGCAGTACAAGCCAACTCCTGACACCCGCTCGGCAGCCCCGGCCATATGCAGGAGAGTTAAACAGAAGCTTTCGAAAAAACTTAACTAAATCTTGCAGAGCTGGGTGAAACAAAGACGGTTAACTCCTCCGTGCCCATTGTCGTGCTGCCGTTTATCTCTGTCCCTTCCCTCGGTCGGGCTGGGTCCCGGGGGGCTCCCGCCCTGCCTGGTGGCAGCAGGTACGCCGTGCACAGCCCAGAGCCTGCCCTCGTTTCTCACACCGATCTGACCCAGTTCGGAGCCTCCCACCAAGGGGAATTACACAACAGGGCCAGATTGTGGCTGCCGCTACCGTTTTATGGCTGAGTTATTCCAACCTGCCCCATCTCCTGCCTTTGCACTGTGCTCAGTGTTTAATCGCTGGAGGAAGGGCACTTTGCGAGAGATAAACTGATTACCTGCCTCTGGGCCCTTCCCAGCCCCGCACGGGATCGTGAGCCTCAGGAGGGTTACAGCTCCAAGAAATCCCAATCAAACCCTCTGCAGCACCCTTACAGCAGATCCTGAGCCTTCCAGCACAGTGCCTCAACAGTGGTGAGGCTGCTGAGAAACCGGGCTGGAATCTTAGGGGGAAACACTTGGAAAAATTCCTCTTGCTTACTCACGGAGGAAAAAAGAGCTGTCATGTTTATCCTACCCAGAAGTTAAACCCTGCAATCAACTGCACATCAAATTAACATCCAAGACAGCCTCTCTCATGTATTATGTCCCGTCTTTCAACAAAGATAAAAATAGTTCTGAAGTTTTTTGGGCTTTGCTTTTTTAAGGTAGAACACTTCAGATAATAAGTAAATGCCATGTGCTGATGACTGCCTCCTCCTCAAGCCCACACAGAAAGGAGGCCCACTTCTAGGCGAGGAAACCTTGAGAATTTGGACACATTTCTGTCGTCCTCACGTTTTTCTTTCACTCTGCAAAGCTTTAAAATCATTTCTCACATAAAAAGTTGAGAGAGAAATGTGAAAGCAACTTTTCCTCTTCTACACGTTAGCTGCTCACAGACGGGTTGTGTATGCCATGAGTCAAACTGTTAAGTGAAACAGCAATCATCAGGGGATGTGGGGACTCAGGGCATTTCTGTACATCACTTTCAGCAGAGGATCCACTAGCCCTGTAAATACTACACCATTATTTAATTGACTATTACAGATAACATCAAGTAAAAAGCAAGGATGCAGGACAAGGCAGAACAGAGTCCTTCCTCACTTGGGAAGAAGGAGCAGGGTTCCCCTCTACATACAGAAAGCCAGAAAAGCCAAAGTGACTTTTCAGAAGCTCTTTGCCCACCACAACACAAGTGATTCAGGCACAGGACATGCTCATTCCTGAGTACACAACCACCCCATACAAATCCCTTCAGAAAGGACAGGTTTAACACTAATGCTGCTCCAGTGCTGAACAGTAAAGAGGATTCCATCACCTCTCCAACCTCCAGTCAAGCCCAGTATCTGGGACTCATCAAGATTTGTCCCTCAAAGCCTGTTTTGTAACCAAGACTTCACACTGGCCATTGTGGTGCCAGGCCATAGAAACAGGATCAAGCACCCTGGCATATCACAAGAGGATTTGCACACACAGTTTCATAAAAACAGAGATTTCTAAGTCTGTACTGCATAACTCTCTTCACTGTCTGTTATACAGTCAGGTTTTATGGCAATAATAATTTCCTTTTATGTTTTTCTTTTTTGTTTGGCAGCAAAATAGTAAACTGGTTAGTTGGGGCCATAAGATTCCTCTTAATACACTCAGCTCACACACAAACACTCCAAACAGGATGTGTATGAGGGTAACTGCTGGTTCCTTGGGGCAAATCTCACCTGTGTGTTAGACCACTACTAGCACCATTTTGGTACCTCATAGGCAGCCTTCAGTATCTAGCAGAACATTACTATAAAGCACACAACTGCATGAGTAAAGGAACAATGAGCTTAAGCTTCTCTGTGACAAAAAGTCTTGTAACAGTTTGCAAGCAGTAACTTGCAATGTTATTGCAAAATAACAATTAATAGTTCTCTGTTCCACTTCAAAATCTAATAAGAAATAAAACTGAGATCAGTTGTTTTGAACAGTCTGATTCTAACAAACACTAGAATTTCTCTAATTTACATTATGCAACATATTAAAACCTCTATTAATTATCATGTAAAAAATGGTGTCAGGGGAATCACCTAAAAGGATAAATATTTTTTCAAAAAGGAGCCAACAGTTTTACTATAGTAGTCCAACAGACCCCTATATGCTTTAAATAAAGCAAAGTGTTTACTGAAAAAGCAAAAGGAACTTATTCCCCCCAAGCTGCATTTAAAGCCATCCTTAATTGATTACTTCATGATTTAAATCCCTTCTTCCTTTGCAGCCTGAGACTGTTGAGGCTCCAGCTATGCAGTTTCCTTGCTGTGACTCACAGCCAACTGGTGGCCACACACTGTTGGCTGGGAAGGAAGAAAACAATTCTCCTCCTTCATTTTATCTTGTTCAAATCACAAACAAACTAAGTAGCATTGATCCCCTCTAACTGATGTGTTCTCCACAGGGATATTAAACTGAAGGAAAAAGAAGCAGCCTGTGAAATCATAAATTGGGGAGCATCTGCTCATCCTGGACCACCTTTCCAAGGAAGGCAAGTGTGCTTCTCCCCACTCCACACAAATATTGAACAATGGATCTAGTCTTCACCCACACTGCATGTGAGTATTAAGGAGCCCACTGTGATTTGTGGGGAACAGGAACTGAGAGCAAAAAAATAAATATATCAGTTTTGAGAGAGTTGCAGGACCTGCTCTTTTATTCTCTCCAGGCTAACAATCTCCCTCCTAAAAGGCACCACAAAACTAAAACCAGCCTGAAACTGGTTGTTCCCTGACAACATGAACAACAAAAGCTGCTGCAAGAAATGGTGGGAGAAATGAAAAAAAAAAAAAAGAACAGCACAAGAAAAAAAACCCATAAAATCAACCCATAAAGAGAGAAAAGGGAGAGCTAATCCTTCCCCTCTGCTGACACGACAGTGCTAGCACTGAGAATGTGACAATGAACATTACATAAGGCCTGGCTCCCACAGCGATCCGAACAAAAAGAGCCAGCGTGAGTCAATGGCAGCATCTGCAGCTCCTTACACAACCTGAGCATCCATCACCTGCTGTGGCAGCAGCCACAGGGTCCTTCTCTCCTGCACCTC